TTAGTACTGTAAAGCAAAAGGCCTAATCATGTACATTTTGTACGTATTGCAGTGACAGCAAACATGGCCATTCGCATTGTTTCACTCATTATATGAACAGAATATAATATTGGTAATGTGGTAAATGATGCTGGGATCAATGACGTATAATAATAGTAATTAAAAGTTGCATGAAATTTATTTCATAACATTTACATTAACTTAACTAACACTAGCTGCGTTCACACGAGGATTTCAGTTCCGTACTTCAGCGTTCACACGCTAAAATATACTCTGCTTATTCAGTACCATACTTAAATACGCGGCTTACTTGGCGCGGAATCACATTCCGCGCCAAGTAAGCCGCGTATATTTGGCACCACGCTGGCCGCGTATTGTCTGTCGTGTGAACGCATTCGAATTGCGAAACTGTAGCACGCTTACCTAGACTGGTACCCGTTCGCTACACGACGTTAGTGTAGCGTGTGGAACTGTCGACCGGGTACCAGTCTATATTATACCTAGCCAGCCAGCTAAGCCTCGAATCTCGTGTATCTCGTGTGAACGCTCCGGGTTGTGTTAGCGCGGTATTTCAGCCGAATTCAGCACCAACTAAGTGCGGAACCAGCGAGGCCGTGTATACATGTGAACGCAGCTAATATTACTAACATTACTAACACTAACACTATATGTGTCAAGTCACAGATGAGTAAAAATTAAAAATTAACACGAAACATTGTTGTTAAACACGTGATGTTATACTTTGTATCAAGCAAGCCAGACAATGCGTCTAGACATACATGTAGGTTTGCAGCATATTGTGCAAACCTGGCCGTATGTAAAATGAACGCGCATTATGAATACTAGCTGGAACCCGCGCTAAGCGCGGGCTTAGTGACTGTGATGTTACTAGTAGTGTTATGTGTAAGGTGTTATATGGAGAGTTGAGTTGTTGCACATGTTTTTTTTTTTTATGGTTGAGATCACAGGCCACTTGGAACGTCTCAATAAAAAAAATTAATGGTAAATAAACACGAAATGTACCAGTCTTAATGTTTCTTTACTCTATTTCGCATATAATCACCTGTAAATGCCAGTCAAATGCTCATCTGCAACACGCAAGTACACCGCACGCCCGCGCTGTGCACAAACAACATGAATAAGAGATAGAGCGCCCCCTATTTTCAGGCAAATGTTTACCTTTTTTGTTTTTGTTTGTCTTTTTTAAGCCTTTTTTACGGTTTTCAACCGAGTATAGTTTATAACCCGTCCCGTGTATTCATCGATCTCTTCTATGAATTTAGCACTATTTGGATCCAAACTGATGGAGCCTTTCATTTTAACATACATACATACAACATTCGCCAAATTATAGTAAGATAAAATTTTTATAGAGGTTGGACACCGGACAACCACGGAAGCAATTTGTAGTTGCCCGAGAGAAAATCCATTCGTCACGGACGACCGGACGACTGTTAAAATTGAGCCCTGCAGGGTACTGCCGGAACATACCCTTTTAACTATCTGATATGATTAGGGTTAGGGTTAGGGTTAGGGAGTAGGCGTAGGCGACTCCCTAGACTCGTTAGTGGAGTAGGCAAGGTACGGTCGGGCATATTAGATAGCACCAGGGTACGTTCCGGTATACCGGACCGTACCCAGGGTACGTTCCGGCAGTACCCTGGGGGACATAGACCCTCTCAGCGCCGGCTGCCGGGCATATATAGCCACTCTGTTGATTTTATTGCTCTGTATACACAGCCTCACAGGGTTGGCAGTAATTACTAGATTATTGACAGAAAATAACTTCTTTCCATCCCCAGCCCATGAATTGAATGATGCAATTTGCAAACTAATATAACGTAGTACTAGTAGTAGTAGTAGTACTACTACTAGTACTAGACGTTGATATCTCAGTCCAGTCGCACTTGCTTATTAACTTGACCCATTTTTAGCCATGAATAATGTTGGAACACACGCTATTAGTATTGCTGATAGTGTCTATGTCCCCCAGGGTACTGCCGGAACGTACCCTGGGTACGGTCCGGTATACCGGAACGTACCCTGGTACTATCTAATATGCCGGACCGTACCTCGCCTACTCCACTAACGAGTCTAGGTAGTCGCCTACGCCTACTCCCTAACCCTAACCCTAATCCTAACCATATCAAATAGTGACCAGCTAGGGTACGTTCCGGTATACCGGACCGTACCCAGGGTACGGTCCGGCAGTACCCTGGGGGACATAGACCCTATGAGCGCCATTAGTATTATAAAAATAATTGTTAAAATTGTAGCGCAAGTTATTAACCTGCCATGTCACGTATTATGCTAGATTTAGACCGGAGTTACGGATGTAAATTCATCCAATCATCGGGCCCAGTAAACTGAGATAAAGAAAAGAGCGACGAATAGACCTAGTCAGTAGTTGTAACTCACCTGATTGGCCTTGTTTATCTGTTTTTTTAATCCTGCTAACGACATCTTTGTAGAGTTTCAAACCGACTTAATCAGGAGAGCTGATTATTAACAGAACACTATTGAAAGCACTACGCGTAAACGCGTCAGTGATCAATCGTAAATGCATATATAAATAATTTCGTTTTGCGATTTGCCAGTGCGTAATACCGCACTGGTCAACTGTCATGGCGCCGGCGGCCCGGCATAGTCTTTGGTTGCACACGAGTCTGAGACAATAGACGACAGATCTGAGACATCTGAGATCGTAGATGAGAAAAGTTGCCTTTAACTGCGCGCGTATGCTACAAAATAATGTTAAAATGTTATTTCCGTACACATGTATATTGTCATTAGTGTTATTATTATTATTTTGCTAACTTACACTTTATTTATAACATTAGATTATATCTTTTACCAACAACATCATCATAACAACAACATTATTAACATATTAATTATCGTCATTAACAACAACAACATCATTTATTCTATTCAACCGGAATTATCATTTCTGTCGCCGTTCAACTTCATGCATCGATCGTCACATAGAAATATATATAGAGTCTATATATACTACCGGTATATCATTTCTATGGATCGTCACCATTATAATTATTATCATATTATCATGCATCGCTTTCCTTGTCTTCGTCAGTAATTTTAGTTATTTATTTATTTAAAGACGCCGGCACATTGTTAAAAGATATATCAACATTATATATGAGCTGCAAGCTCTTCACTGTCGATCAGTGCAAAAATAAAAGATGTCTTAATGTGGAGATTTCAGGGGGGATGACGTCATACAACCAGAGACCATAATTTCAATAGCGCAGGTAAAAAGTTTTCCCCAGCGACGGGTAAAAAGCTTTCCCCAACGACAGAGACAATTAAGCGCGGGGGAGGGGGTCCCATAGCAGATGTGGGAGGTAAGGGAGTTGCGCCACCCATACACGCTCCGGGTGAGGGAGTTGGGCCGGCCGAGAACGTGGCGGACAGGGGATGCGACGCTCGATCGTGCATATATACTGGACCAATTAAGGGAGTTAATTGCATCACCCGTACACGTGTTAAGCGAGGGGGTGACAATTAACGCCCAGGCACCTGAGGCGCGTGAGAGGGTGGCATTGCCAGGATCCTACGTCACCGCAGGCTCCTATATTAGCAGCCAGGATTCAACGGTAAAGTCAGTCATGCAGTCTTCAGACGGCCAAGAATAGTCATTCTTCGGACGGCCACGAATAGTCGGTCTTCGGACGGCCACGAACAGTGGGTCTTCGGACGGTCACGAATAGTCAGTTCGCTCGCTTGAGAGAGTGCAGACACACCGTCAAAGAGAGCAGACCGTCAGAGGGAGAGCCACCCACGAGCAGGACGACACACGAGAAGGTATCTAATATATATTTGAGGTATGTATGTATCTATGTATGTATGTATGTATGTATGTATGTATGTATGTATGTATGTATGTATGTATGTATGTATGTATCTTCCCTATAGGCGGCCAAACCGCCCAAGCGATCTGGATGCAATTTTCACAGGGCCATCTCTTATACCCGGGGAGTGTTCCTAGATGAAAAAAACCTGTCAAACCGTCAAACTCACCGAAAAATCCGTGAAAAACCCCTACATACATACATACATA